AGGGATAAGGCACCCCCACAGTGGGGCATAGTCACACTGCAGTCCCTTCTTCTCCATTTACCCATCCTCTTGGGATTTTAGGTGACATGCCCTGCATGTTTTTCAAGCTTCTGGGGCCAGGATTTAACAACAGTTCTCCATGTGGCATGAGGCTCCCTTAACCACTAGGCTATGGGGCCAGCCTCCACCAAACTTCATTTCTTTTTTTCTTTATGTACAAGGATATGTGTTTTAAATTTACAAGAGAGTGTGTGCACTCACCAGAGAGAGACAGAGAGAAAGAGAGAGAAAGTGAGAAAGCACTCCCCATGGTGCATGGGCATGCTGCAATCTCTTCTCCATTTTGCCCTCCTTTTGGGATTTTGGGCAGGCATGCACTTGCACTTAGCATGTTTTTCAAGCCATCTGGGCAAGGACTCAAACCATGGAGTTAATCATAGGGGATCTAGCCACCTTAAACACCAGGTCATGGGCTGGCCCAAAACTTTGATTCAACTTAGTTAATGTAAAGACCAGAAATAGAAAAGAAGGAAATAAAATACTTGTAGCACAGAAAGAGCTTGACCTCAGTTTAGTTAGAACATTGATAAACACATAACTAATTTACCATTTATACTCTACCTACTTACTACTACAGAGAATTTGAACTTATTTAGAACATGACACATTGTAAAAACAAAAGAGCTAGGTCACTACTATATAATCACTGACCTGATTTTTAATTTTTTCTCCCTTCTCCCCTGCAATTATTAATTAGAAAAAAGAGTTTCTATTGGGAAATGGGACAGTAAAGCAAAATGATCATGAGATAAGTCAGCTTTGGGATCATTACACCTGGGTGCAAACCCTTGCCTTTGGGCAAGAAATCCTCTGGATCTCAGATTCCTTGACTGTAACATGGGGTCAGTATCAGCTACCTCACAGAGTTGCTATGAGATGAAATAAGTGAAAACATGAGACCCACACCTCACCAGAAACAAAGTAAGCAATACATTAGGTCCAATCTCTATGCAAGGGCTAGAGTTCAGGAGCTGGTGAATTAAAACAGAAAGGTTATTATGTTATTATTTTCACTGCCCTCTAACTGTGAAGTCAACTTACTTAAATAATGGATATAAGCAATATTACCATATGCAGTACCTGTTATTTTGACACTAATAGAAATCACAGACATTTTTATAACATGGCATAGCCATTACAGATATTTCAAAAATATTGTTTACACTCATCACTAGTTTGAAATTATGGTAGTTATTAGACCTGCTGCTAGATCTTGCTATTTAATGCATTAATAAAGACACATATTTGTTACTGCATCATAGAATTACTTTTAACATATTAATTATTACATCTCAGTAATCAATTTCCCTTGCAGTATTATACATTTTGGTGTATTCTTTAAAAATGTGCTTTAAGTGAGAATTGAAAACATTGTTCAGACAAGAGGACCAGAGGCTTCAACAAACTATCAAATGGATTTGCTCTTCCTTCTGCTAGCGGTATAACACTCAGCCACCATGAAATGGACAAAGGTTTGGTTGATTGGGGCTCTGCATAGATGTGGCTATTTTCAGATGGATTTAATTTGGGCTGTTTCTGCAAAGATGATCAGTTTGGATTTGCGGGTGATTTGGGTTGACGTTCAGCTGTTGCCCATTTGGTGAGATTTTTACTTGAAATGCAGAATAAAAGCCAGCCCTTACATTTCATCTTTTCTTAATCTTATAAGCAAAGTGAAAGACAAGGGTATGTGTCCAGGTCCCTGAGAGTCATTTTCATATATACATGCCCCACGGATCTTGGAGAGTCATTAAGATTTTATGACACTGAGTTATAGGCTTTATTTGTGGCAAAGGTACTGTGAAATAAGATAAGAATCAGTGGCTTGTAAATCATGTCTTCAGCCATTAAAAATAAAAACTGATTCAACCATCAGCTGGTTAATATTTCCTTACATTTCAATAGTTCTGGAATATGCCAAAATATGTCTACTTGCAACAGCTGGAAAATTATACTGCAACTAAAATTATATCTCACGGCTTCCTGTAGAATGTTTTTGCTCTGAGAGCTCAGGAATAATCCAACAAAAAATGTTTTTTCTAAAAAAATGCCAACAATGTAACTAGAAATGTCACCAGTTTTTGTAATAGATCAAAATATATTCTATAATGCTAGTTTACTTTAACCTGACAATGTATTTCTTATTCTAGTATGTAGGTAAAACATACAAAATATAAAAGGTAGCAACATGATAACTTATGACATGGACTATGGAAGTACAAATCTATTGTTTTCTTAGGTTGGTACATTTGACGGTAGACTTTTCTCTCTTTATCATGCATGTAGCCTTACAAATGAACCAGGGAGCATCATGTTTGTAGACATTCTCTTTAAAGCAGTATTTGTTTTATTTATTTATTTAGAGAGATTTTTGCTATAGGATGTGTGCACTTGCCAGAAAGAGAAAGTGAGAAATTGCCCCCTCAGGGAGGATGGCCACACCTCAGCTCCTTCTCCTTCATTCTCCTCTTGGGATTTTGGGCACACATGCACATGCACCCAGTATGAGTTTGAAGCCACCAGGTCTGGGATTGGAACTGCAGTTGACTACATGGGAGTCCAGCAACGAGACCATTACGTCATCTGCTGGTCCCAGCCACATTTATATTTGTTCTTTTAATGAAAAAGATATATACACACACACACACACACACACACACACACACACGTATATATTATCTTTTTGGTTTGCTATAAAGTGCGTTCGCTAGCAGGAGAGAGAGATAGAGAGGGAAAGTGGAAAAGTATCCTCTAGGAGGAATGATAATGCCACAATCCCTTCTCCTCCATTCTCATCTTGAGTTTTGGACATGCACACACACGCTTGCTTGTTTTTTAAGCCACTGGGTCCAGGACTTAAATCTCGAAGTCAGCCATATGGGATCTAGTCACTTTTAACCTCCTGGCCACCTGCTGGCCCATGAAGAGGATATAATTTAACTAACATTGGGTGCTAATTGACCGAAAAAGTTGGATATTTACCAGCAATGTCTTGTAAAATGTTGTGCCATTCACACAACATTTTGCAAAGTATATCTGAGGCAGGTAGATTTTTTTTTTAAACCCAAAAGATTTTCTCCTATCTTCTTTCCATCGTTGTCTGTATACGTACTCTGAGTGTAGGAAAGGATCCCTACTCCTCCCCATATAGTTACAGGTACAGTTAGGAGAGAGGTGCTACTATGAATATGGTGGTGGACAAAGAAGCTGGGCCACCTCCCCATGCAGTAGATCCAGTTGTACTTTTTCTTTTATCTCCCTTCCCTTCTCTTCTCTCTTCTTTTCTTCTCTCTCTTTTTGTTATGTTTTGTTTTATTTTTTCAGGCTCACTCTGGGCTACACCATTTTCACAAAATGTTATTTCCTACTTTGGCATTCAGTGTACCTTTATTTTTGCCCTAACTCAATCTACTTTATATATTGAAGCAGAAAAGACATGACTGAATACTTCATTCTAACAGAAAGCACTTAATATTCATAGAAACACTGGGATAGTCCAGATGGAGTTCGCTTTCTGGAATTAGCATAATAAAAGTTAGGCAGAATTTTCTTTTGTCTTAACGAAGTATTATGTCTACTGGAGACCAGAAGCTGTAGAGTTTCAACTTCTGTAACAATCTTATCTTTTTCTTGCCAATTAAAACCATTATCCTAAGTGATCTATGGAGCTCAATTGCTCCTATGTTTTGTGTTTGTTTGTTGATTCATTGATTCATTAATTTATTGAACATCTGGGACCAGCAGGTGGCGTGGTGGTTAAAGGTGCTGGACTCCCATGTGGCTAACCATGGTTCGAGTCCTGAACCTGGTGGCTTGCTATCTCACTTTGTGTCTCTCTCAGTCTCTCTTGCTCTGTCCTTCTCTGGTCAAATTAAAATAACTAAATTAAATTAATCTTTAAAAAATTATTGAATATCAAATAATTATTTACTGCACCTGGAAGAATAGGTGCACTGACTCTAGCTTCACCTAACAGGAAGATTATCCCTTTCACAGTCTTTCAAAAACACTACTGAATGCAATTGTAAATGCAGCCACCATTCATTTATAGCTTGAACCACATACTAGTCAGTTCATCTGTAAACCAAACTTGGGCTTTTCCCTATCTTTCAGCTGGTTGTACAGGATCCCTACTTCTCCCCATATACTTACAGGTATGGTCAGGAGAGAGGTGCTACTAAGAATATGGTGACAGACAAAGAAGCTGGGCTACCTCCCCATGCAGTAGATCCCAGTTGTACTTTTTAAACATTATTTTTATTTAATTTTATTTATTCATTCATTTGTTTTTAATTTGACCAGAGATATACACAGGGTTGGGGGGGGGGAGTGAGAAACCAAGTCACCAAGTCCAGGACTCAAACCATGGTCAGCCATGGGGGAGTTTCCAGAGCCTTAACCACCAAGTCACCTGCTGGTCCCCAGTCCCAGTTGTACTTTTTCTCTTATTTCCCTTCCCTTCTCTTCTCCTTTCTTTTTTTCTTCTCTCTCTTTTTGTTATGTTTTGTTTTACTTTTTCAGGCTCACTCTGGGCTACACCCCTTTCACCTTAAAACAGACCATTGTTGAAGCTGGGTCAATCTAACTTCTTGGTTTGGTGTCTGGCAGAACACAGCCAATATAGCTCTAGATGCATAGTCAGCTGGTGTCCCATGGTTAAATGTTTCTTTCTTTCTTTTTTTTTTTAATTGTCAGAGGGCATGTGTTTTCACTGCAGAAAAACAGAGAGAGAGAGAGAAAGCATCCTCAATGGAATATGGTAATGCTGCAATCCCTTCTACTCCATCTCTCGATTGGAATTTTTTGGCATGCAAGCATATGTACCAGGTATGTTTTCCAAGCCACTGAGGGTTGGATTCTAACCATGGTCCTCCATGTGAGATGCAGCTTCCTTAGCCACTAGGCTATAGGCCAGCCCTTATGCATTATTTTAACACCAGAGGAGGTACACCATTCCTGGAAGCATTGCAATACCAGGTCAGTACACCAAGTGGATAGCACAAGCTCCTATATCAACCCCCTACTCTAAAAATCCACTTAATATAGTATTTTCAGATAGAGCACATATCAGATATTAAGCTGATAAGAATGGATACTACACTTGATCTTAGCAGAAAGGCCAAGAAACTATGTGTTTCATCTTTACTAGGGCATAACAACATGCCAGGGGATATCTGTCAAAAAAAAAAATATATATATATATGAAATTTGCTGCTGCATGTGTCATGGCCTTGTTCCCCAGGGAGAGGCAATGCAATTCTCCCACAGGGGCTGATGGAGCTTGTCACCAATGAACATTCAGTGATGCTAGTACTTCCCTGGTACTTCACTCCTAATGGCTTTGGTAAATGGTGTGTCATTTGGGCCCTCTTATTGAATATAAAACTCTAAGAAGATGATTCCTTCTTGAATCATCTGCTGAAAGGGTTTAGAAATTTCCATTCTACTCACCATTGACCATCACTTTCTCTCCATTTTTAAAGCAACACTGGGACCCACAGATGGCACAATGGCTATGTCACTGGACTCCCACCTAGTTGGCCATGGATCAAGTCCCAGACCCAATGGCTTTAAACTCATGCTGGGTACATGTACGTGCATACCCAAAATCCTGAGAGGAGAATGGAGAAATTGTAGCATAGTCATCCCCCCATGGGGTGTTTTCTCACTTTCTGTCTCTCTATCTCTCTCTGGTGAGAACATGTGTCCTATAGCAAAAATCTCTCTCAAAAAAAAAAAAAAAAAATACATCACTAATACTGAATTTGTCCTCTTCCCTGGGGTTGTTGCCAGAATGTGAAATTCTGTCTCCTGAAGTCAGTGAGTTGTTGCTCATTCAGTCATATATTTTGAACTTCTTGCTAAACACTTTCGAAACACAATCCCAGGAGTTCTTTCCTAACCATTGCTAGTACATGTTAACTAATTCATGTTCTTTAGTGTATAATCTCCTTTCTCCCTTATCAAGCTTTGCATATCTCTAGCTGGTTATGAGGGAATTTAACTCTTTGTTATCATTCTGGCAACCAAAAGAGGAGGTGGAGGCAACTCCTGAGGCAGAGACCTGTCTCTCTCTGGTCAAATTTTAAAAATAATATTAACAATAATAAATAAAATAAAATAAATAATTTAAAAAAAAAACAAGGAAGAACTTGCTTCTTTCCTCAAAGACTGTTAACACCAACATCACAATGTGTCCTGGGCACAGCAACCTGGAAAGTGTATGTGCTCACTCATAAGCCACCTAAAAGCTAACAATGAAGGTGAGGCTTGTTTCCAGAGCCTCCAGTCTGATATCCCTTCTCTGGTTTTTCCTTGAGCAAAATCTCATTTCCCTTCTTACCCTTCTATTCTCATTTCCAGTCAGAATCTGCTCTAAAGAAAGAATCTGAAGTTCAGTCTCACTAAGAGGTAAATAATTTACAGCTAAGTAAAAATGAAAAATGTAAGCCAATGGAATGAAACCACCACAATAATGGTCATGCTGCAATCCCTTCATCATTCTCCTTTCAGGATTTTGGGTACCCACACATGCACACCTACCTAGCCTGATTTTCAAGCCACCAGTCCAGGATTCAAACCACATGGTTAGCCATTTAAAATCCAGCACCTTAACCACAATGCTGCCTGCTGTACCGAGATCTACATTTTAAAAGTGCTTATGGAAATTAAGCAGGACCAAAAGCCATAGGATAGTATCTTGAATGTGCTGACCAAGGTCAGTTTTAAACACGTTCCTTACCTAGAGTGCTATAATTTCTGACCAGTGCCCAGCAACAACAGAGCTATAATATGTGTCGTCCATTGTAATGTTTACAATAGAAATACATGTCAAGACAAAAAATTATTATTCACAACTCTATTAGTGCATGTAATATGTAATTATTTGTTTATGTCCCTATTCCTTGAAAAGGCAGAAACTCCAAAGGGCTATAAGCAAACTTATTTCTGCCCCAGGGTCTAGTGCATGCTTTTAATAAGTACTTAGCAAAATTTGTCAGAGGAGTAAATGATTAAATGGCACATTATTATTGAGAGTAACTCAAACCAGGTCCTCAGCCCAAAATACATTTGTCTGATATTTCAGAACTGTATAGAGTTCATTGAGATTTCTCCTTGACCCTGCCAAGCTATGTAATTCATTTACCATCTTCTTCTTTTTCTACTTGGTAGGATTGGCTTTGGTGTTAGGTAATACATATGTAATAAAAACTCTAATTACCAGTTAGATTCATCTGCTTATTATGATACTAGTCTTTTATTAAAACTAGATTTCACTCCACCATGCTCTTGGCTATAAAATAGAGCTCTTTTACTTTCTACCAATTCTATTGGCACTCCTTTTTAATTCAAATACTGCTCTGGGATCAACAATGCAATAAGACATAATTATGTTTTAAGATCCATGAATTGGTTGTGAAAATGCAGGTATTTTCTCTCTAGGTAGTTTGCTCCAGGAAATGTACTGAGAAGTATATTTTTATCTTGATGTATGGGGATTTACATAGGAACATACCCCTTAGAGTTGGAAGTAGTATTTTGTAGAAATGCCGGAACAAATACCACCCATCACCACTTTATTATGTTCACAATGTACTCCATTATCATCAGTATGTGGGTATAAATCCTCATAAGAAACCTCCCAGTATTAAAAACCATAATTATAACATGTATTTATTCCAAACATATGTACCACCGTTTCAAACTACCCACCAGCTGAATATATTTTGCAGCTTTCAAAATTTGACTGGTGTGAAGATGGCTTTTATAAATGTGATTTATGACAATTTAGGTGCCGAAAACCATCGTAATTACAAGTACTGTAAATGTTTTCTCTCTGCTTAAGTAGCCTCGCTGAGGAGGACAGCGTTCATTTCCTGTGGGCTGGGCCTTTTGGCTCCAGCTTTCTCTGCAGCCAACAGGCTGCTCTGTTCCCAGCTCTGTTTCACCAGTAAAAGATTAACAAAAACTTTTCAGCGCTCAGCTTTCTTTTCCCTCTGGAACTATCCATTTTCCCATCTCCAAAGAGGGCAGCCTCTCCTAACATATGTTGGAAATTGTTGTTCAACTTCACAGAGTATACAAACACAAGACTTTTCTCCATTCCTGGTGCCAGAGCAGACGTTTCAATGGAATATTTCATTATAATGCAGAGCCTATGTGCCAGAAAAGAGGCTTTTCCAATGAAATTCATGATTTTTTTTTTTCTTTTCTTTTTACCATGTGGTATCTGGGATTTCTACAAAGCACAAGAGACTTGACTTTTGATATAAAAAGTTTAAACTTTTAACCTACCTGGATTTGAACAAGATAATAAATTGTCAAGTAATGATTCTTTGCCAAATGTTAATAATCTTCATGAAAAGTAAAACCAGAGTGTCATGGAAAGGATGTGATACTCTGCACCTTCCTAGCAACTTTCATCTCATTATTTAAAGCCTCCCAGTCCAGTATACCAATGGAAAGTAAAACCACCACAAAGGTCAAGTGACTCACCCAAGGTTACAAAGGAAGTCAGTGGCAAGACCAATGAGAGACCAAACTCAGTATTCCTAATTCCCAGTTCAGTGCTATAGTTTAAAAAGCCCCCAAACAACACTCTTGTAAATTACACTGTCATCAGCACTTTCCATATTACTCTTTGTTTTCAATAGTTATAAATTCAGTAGTTTAAAAAAATGGCTTTGGGACAAAATTTAGCCAACCAAAGCTCTAGCTTACAGTCAATTATTTTCAAAAGACAATTTAAAAATCTGTAGTTCAGCTACTTTGGGGGTACAGACATGCCAAAATCCAAGTTCACTCTTTTCTTGGTATGTCTTTGAGTTTGAAGGGAATTAGCCATGGGATTTATTAAAGTTGTGTGCTAATTACTGAGTCGTGGTTTTATTACCAAACCAACATAAAAGGAGAAGCTGAATTTTAAAAATACACTCTAATTAAAACAAAAATGATAAATTTAACTCGATTTATACCAGCATTCCTCTTAAGTAACAGTGTAAACGAATACAGAGAAATTTACATACAGGTTTTCCGTGGATACTCACTGTACGGCCACTATTACCGTAGGAGCATGAGTTGAAATGTATAGGAGTGCCAGGCATTTCTCTCCGACCAGCATTCGGAGCTGTGCCTGCTCGCCCAGCCAACTCTATGAATCAAATCTTGGCCACCAGCGAGACGACTCATTAGTGTTTCTTACAGTCAGATTATCCTCACAGCCAGTTACACCATAGCTCTTTTACTCTGCAAATATTTCTTTGTATTTGTTTAGAATACAAACAGTCTAACGGTCTGTTTCTTCAAAATCAATACAAAGACAGGAACAAAAGAGAAAGTAGCCACTGCAAAAAGAGCAGCCACAAAACATCAAATAAAAAATAAAATCAGAATGTGTACTGATCACAGTCTCCAATCTGCAATTCCTTGAAGGAGTGTTTTTCTGCAATAAGTGATTCGTAGATGATGCAAATCACAATCTCCTTTGGCTTTTGCTGCTGCCTTCATGAAATTTCAGATGTGACAAGCTTGCTGGGTTGAACCCAAATATAAAAGTCCATGGAGCTTTTTTCCCCCTCTGCTTTTATTTTTCTCTGCTAAATATAGATATACAGATTTATTTTATTGCAGAATTACTTCCATTTAAAAATTAGGGTGACTTTAGAATGAATATTATATATCAAATAAAGATTACAATTTTAGTGTGGAAGAGATTGCCAGACTGAGACTATTTCAAACCAACAAATTTATGCTTCTTTAATACATTCTCTTTAGAGAGAACAAATGTTAACCATAATTTTTCAGTTCAGTAAGCCACAGTGAACATTGATAAGGGCTTACTTTCTTGTAGAATATAAGCCCCAATGACTACTCCAGTTCATACATCAGAATTAAGCCATTCTACATTATATTCTCATGTATTATGCACTTGAATTCTAGTTCCTCTACTGATTTGTAACAAAGACTCGAAATGCTCTAAATTTAAAATTACATTTTACATTTTTCTCCACATAAACTTGAGATAGTAATTCTCACAGGCTAAGTGCAGTTTTAACACTTCCTAAAGAAATCCACACTAGGAAAAGGATCTGATGTAAAGATAAGAAAAGATGCAAATAATCGTAATAGATT